ATATATATATATATATATATATATATATATATATATATATATTTTAATAAACTTTTTTGTAGTTATTGCATTCGAAGATTTAGTTACAATAAATATAGTTTATTAAATTATAAACATTAATTCATTATGCCAATTGACAATATTTCCACTGATGTTTCAAGCGACTTTTCATCCATTTTGAGTGAGATTTACTCCAAGAAATTTCAAGAATACCATGTCTCAAATAAGGCGGCAATCTCCTTTTGTGGAGAAGCCTCGGTCGTCCGAAACGACACGGCAGTAGAAATTACCTGTACGTGGTCCGGCAGCGGACTGGACCAAACGTTACCATCGCCCGTCTGCGTCATCTTCTCGCTCGAGCAGACATTACGTTCGCCCGACGTCACCGTCGTCCCCGGCTGCAACGCATTCCCGACATTATTGCTGCCATGGAGCAATACCACGTCGCTAAACATTACGCTGCTTCTTCTCCGATAATGCGTACATGGCGGACTCAACAACGTGCTGTTCGTCTAAAAGGCGACAACCAAGCATACATTATGTGTGTTATACGAACTGGCGCTCTCTATTTCTCCATCTTTCTCTTTCTTTCTCTCTCTCTTTCTCCCCCTTTCTTTCTTTATATCTTCCCGTTCTTGGTCCGGACTTGCGGCATTAAGGAAGTGAAACTTTGTACCGTTCTCTATGTGCGAACGTATTTATCGCCAATGACAGAAGTTAATGATGGAGAAACTGATGCGATGAAGCGCATACTATAATGCTCTCCTACATGCAAAGCATGTATAATCTCGCTATTAGATACAACTACTATCGTGTAAAAGCATAAGATAAATATTAGGCAAAATGAACAGCTGAAAAGGAAGAGCGCTAAATGGATTAATTAGATAAGACGTAATTGCTTGTTTAGAATTATCTACGAAGATCAAAGTCGAGTCTAACACTTCTCTAGAAAATAAAGGCTCGAGTGACGTCATTGAAATCTTCAGGGAAATGTGCATTTCCGAATGAAATGATCGTATCCATACTTCCAATAGCAAGTAATCAATATTGGCAATTTCTAACAATTTCACAATGAATTTTATGTCCAATTTTACAAGAAAATTTTGTGGTAAAATCACGAGAAAAATGTAGAAAAGTAGGACTACAAATAATTTCTGGTAAAACTGTAGAAAAGATCATGACTTTGATATACAGGGTGTCCCGCATAAGATGTACCAAAAGAAAAATATAAGCAGAACAGATGAAACATATAATCGAAATAATTTTTCGAACAACTACGTAAAATTTTGAGTTATTAAATAAAATAGATGAGCTAATCAGAATGCGCGACGCGGCCGGCGAAGAAATGGCCGATTGTTCGTGCGCCTATCTCATAGGCCCAGAGGGGGGAGGGACTACGTCTTAGATCTGCGTGATAGGCCCACGAGCAATCGGCCATTTCTTCGGTAGCCGCGTCGCGCACTCTGATTAGCTCATCTATTTTATTTAATAACTCGAAATTTTACGTGGTTGTTCGAAAAATGACTTCAACCATATGTTTCACTTTTATCTGTTCTACCTATATTTTTATTTTGGTATGTCTTATGTGGGACACCCTGTACATATATTGAAGATAATGATCCTGAGGAATTTATACATAGACATATAGATTTATACGAACTGAGAAACCATTTAATTAATAGCATCACAAAGATATTGAAAGAGTCATTTCAACATTTTTTTTAGTCGCGACACTTCGATCACCCCACTCAAGTACTCTGAGTACATAAAAAAATTTCGTTTGCATGCACGTCTGTAGAGTAACGTCTGTAGGATATAATCCATTTAGACGCTTCAAAGCATTCTAGCTATATAATTACGTCATTATATTTAATCTTCTGTATAAAAGACGTTTGAAGGCTTATGAAGCGTTTAATATAGATCGTATCCCTACACGAAGAAAAATAATTTTGCCCTTTTAGCAAAATCGTCGTTGCTACTGCATATCCGTAGTGACATAAAAAAAATTTAGTTGATGTAACTAATTTTATAAATTATTCGTTATCAGAGCAGAGTAGTTTTGTTGCCAGGATAGAAAAAATTTGTTTAGTGTATTTGTCTTAAGAATCACGTTAACTTGCTCTACTGATGCAAAATAATGCATTCTTAGCAAATTTATTTGCTATCGGAACAAAACTGCAACTGCTTATATAAATCCATCATGGTTCTTGTAGCAAAATAATTTGTAGATTCAGCAAATTATATCCAGCAAATAGCAAAAATTCCAAGGAAAATCTGTCTTATACAGTATTTTTTTGTAACGTGTCTTTTTAAATAAATATTACTTCTCTTGTTAAAATAAACTTTTATTACTTCCATTACAAATTGCATTAATTACGATTAATGGTTGAAAAATTGATTGATTAATAGTTGAAAAATTCAATTTTGAAGAGATAAGAAAAAGTGGCCATGTTACTTTCATGCTTTTAATGCGGCCAAAATACCGATTTTTGAAAATGAATTATTTTCTCATGGTTTAAATTGAATGTCTTCTTTCATGATTTTTTTCCTAATTGCCAAAGGTCCAAAGTAAACTGTAGCGCGAGCGGATTACTCTTAGCAAATCTTTTTGCTGTCCATATGATAACGAGAAGATTTTGCTGGACCAGCAGAAAATTTGCCAATAAACTATTTTTCTCCGTGCAGTCTACCGTTCGTAGAACGTTGGATGAACTTGCCTCAGCTGCGGTTCCCATGACGTTGTCGTTACCGTTGCAGGAGACCGAAGAGGCGCGATGCACACTGAGTCTGTGGCAGGCGTTCGCCGAAGTGTCGGCCTCGGAGATCTCAGGACTGGCGCGGGGCGCGATGCCCAAATTCCCGCTGCCGCTGTTGCCGGCGCTCATAGGAGCGGTCGCGGCGACCGCCTGTAACGGAGATGCGATCGTGGGGGAATCGATGATCATCGATCCGTCATTACCATTGATGGCCACCTGCAATTGCTGCTGTTGCTGTTGCTGCTGCTGCTGCTGTTCCGTGTACTCCAGCGCGGCGAGGAGCCGCGGACACCTTCCGTGATGCAATCTTCCATCTGGGTGCATCGATTTCGACAATTCGAACCGAGGTCTACTCGCGCGGAAGATATTAGAAGCGAACATTTCGGATGTAGTACGATAGTAGATCGAACGTACTGGACCCGTTAAAGTATCAGCGACAGCTATCACAATTGCTGTGTTGCGAATAGAGAGTCGACATTGTTATGCTAGTTTGCAAAATGTGAACGACTGTAAGGTCCTTTAGGTAATATAGCCAGGATTTTTAATACGGTCAATTAACTGTAAAAGACGTAATTTGTACGAAAAACTTCCAATCAAACTAGTATGTTCTTCTTTCCATGTTATTACACTATATAGAGAAAAATATAGTTGCTTTTGGCGTCAACTATACTTTTTTGTGATTTTAACCAGAAAAGTAATTAGAAGAACCATCTTTCTAATAACACTTATTAAAATAATGGTTCTTCTAATTATTTTTCTGGTTAAAATCACAAAAGCGTATAGTTAACGCCAAAGGCAACTATATTTTTCTCTCAGTGTAGAACACCTGATAGAATTGCCGTGTACAGCTCTCATTCTATGGAGTTTATGTTTGACAACAGACGCTTTATACTGCGCTCCAGTAAGATTGTTATTGTTCTCATGTTTATTAATTTATAATATTAATTGAATAATTGCTTAATATGCGATTCCCTATGCTGCTTCTAATTACGATATCGAAATTTAGTTTACTCTAACTAGTAATGTAATATTAAAAACATTTTTATGAAATGTTTATGAAATCTTAAACGATGAAATTTTATACGCATACGCTTGCATATATTTTATTTATAATTATTTAACTATTTTTATTTATAATTTAAAAACTAAGCTGCGGACAAATTTTTGTAAAAGGAGAAATCGTCTTAGAATTTGATTAGAAATACGTCTTTCCAAGGACAAGTGGTTATTTTAAATCATGTATAACCAAGGTTGGGAAGTAACTCGTTACTTGTAATGAAGTTACAGTTACAGTTACATTTTTTTGGTAACTGTAACTTAACTTATTTATTTTTTTCCCACCTGTAACTGTAACTTAACTTGGTTACTTATTTTTAGTAACTTGTAACTTTTAACAGTTGCTTTAATAGTTACTTGGGGAACGTAAAATAAAATTAAAATTGTATAGTAATCGTATATTAATTTAATAACACAAATAACACAGAGAATTCAAACAGAATTAAAAAAGAATCCAGTCGTATGTTACCAATTCTGAATTCATTTTCAGATGCAAAAACTCTTCAGAGTTTAGTTCAGTGAAAAAAGTTCTTTTTGCATTTCAAAATGAATTCAGAATTGGTGACATAATTCACTTTAAATTCTTTGTGCTATCTGGGAAATTTAACAACATTTTCGCTTTATTTATAAAGCATGTGATTAAATTCTTTTACCTCTACAAAGCTATCATTAAATTTTTATTATATTAAGTACAAATTTGAAATTTGTTAAGTGGATTGACTAATTAATGTGACAGATATTAATTATAAAATTTAATTCTTACATTTTAGTAAAGCTTAAAATGTAAAATTTTTGTATTTACAATAATAATTTACAATTTCAAGAAAGTAACTTAAAAGTAACGATTCGTTACTTTTTAAGTAATTGTAACTGTAACGAGTTACTTTTCATAGCCAGTAACTTGTAACTGTAACTAGTTACATTTTCAGCAAAGGGAACTGTAACTAGTTACTTTTAAAAAGTAACTTTCCCAACCCTGCGTATAACGACATAGTTAGATAAGTTATATGTTATATAATAGTTATATCCTATGTTTACTGGAATTATTCTAATATTATTAATTTTTGATATTAGCAAATTTTTTTGTAGCATCAATGAACACTTCACGAGCCGTAACAAAAGGATCTAATAAAGAAACTAATAATTTTATCGATTTTATTCGGTTTATCTTTTCTCTTCCCTTTATTTCGTCTCCATCTGGAATTTTAATGTTATGACATAGAAGAGAATACTTACCACCCGCCACTCGATTCGGTCCGCCAGCAGCATTCGAGCGGAACGCTTGATTCTGTTCTTTGAGCAGATTCTGCTCCCGCATCTGCTGCTTCTTGTACAGATACAGTCGATACCTCTTCATCAGTCTTCGTTTACCCCGTCGCCAGAGGTGAGCGATGTATCTGAAAAAGGAGACGTCATATCGTAATAGTATTAAAGCACGACTGGATCATCTCTTGCAGATGAATGAGCACCGAGCGCCAACCCGGTGCGTGCGAATGGCGTCCTCGGGTCGTGACGACGACGACGAGTACCCACTTGACGATTTCGGCGTAACAAGTAGTAGGCTCTGAGGTATTCGTGGACGACGCGAGCGTCGAGGTTGAATGGTAGCGCGCGCGTTCTTGCCGCATTCTCTCCATCTCCCTCTTCTTCGTCTCCGAGAACTGCGTCGCGATTACGACCAAGCAAAGGTTGATCATGAAGAACGAGCCGATCTGCAAACGCAAGCCTCTTAAACTCTCGTTTTGCGATGTACGTTTAAAGGGACGTCTACATTGCAAGTAAGTAGTAAGAAGTAGGAAGTAGGAGTAAGAAATTGACCAACCACAGTCGAATGTGAGAGGAATAATCAACTATAATTGATCAATTTCTTATTCTTACTTTCTACTTCTTACTGCTTACTTCCAATGTAGACGCCCCTTAAATCGCTCAACTTGATGCACTCTACTGACAAGGCAACATAGGCAACCCGAAAATTCAGAAAATTCTGAAGCATGTGTTGTGTGCAAGTAGTACATCTATAACATAAAACTATTTTTTGTTTCTGCTAAATTTCGATTTAAGGGGGTGAAACCACCCTTCGAAAAACATAACATTTTTATTTTTAGCGAATATTTCCTAAAATACAAGGCATATGAAAAAATAGTTTATATAAAAGTGATAGAATATTTTATACTCTTTGCAACGGTGTATTCAAATTTTGCAAAAATGAAAAATTTTTGAACCCTCCTTTGTCCACTCATTGGTTTCGAGGAGTAGTTTCACCCCCTTAAATCGAAATTTAGCAGAAACAAAAAATAGTTTTATATTATGGATGTACTACTCTACACTGAGAGAAGAATTTAGTAAATATTATCAAAATTTGGTTACTATTACTAAATGATAGACGTAAATATAGCGGGCCAAAGCTATGGTAATACTTATTAATTAATTTAGTTCTGTAAAATAAATTATTTATTTGACAGAAGTAAAATTTATTTGCTTCCAGAATATATTTGGTAAATAAAACTTATTGAATAGTTGAGCAAAATAAGCGATTTTGTAATAGTTACAAAATTTTTGATAGGTTCAACCAACTATCTGTAATAATAGATATTGAAACGATGTAATAGCTGCAAATGAATGAATTTTTCGTTGTGCTGCAACAAAACATACTTATACTGGTAACAAAATAGAACTTGTACCTACTAAATTTTTTATTATATGGGATATAACAATTTAATAACAATTATCAAATATCTGTTCATAACTGTAATATATTTCATATTAGATATTTAACATTAAGTAACTATTACTAAATTATTTAATTGATGTTACTGTGAATGCAATTACGTCATACTCCCGATCTATTAAATATTTGGTAATTATTATCATATTTAGTATTAGTTACTAAGGATTCAATAAATTTCTGTAACTAAATGCAGTTTGTTATAGTTACCAGTCTTTTCTCTCAGTGTACTCGCACACAATGTTTCAGAATTTTCTGAATTTTCGAGTTGCCATTTCGAGTTCCCTTGTGAGTGGATGCTTTTCACAAATCTTACGATAACCATCGTAAAATAAAATAAAAAAAAAGATTTCAAATACGATAATGTTTTCTGCTACTTGTTGTCCGTTGCTACAATGCTGCGCTAATACTGTTCGTAAATTAATGCCGATAATAATTTCTGTTTTATTTTGCTCCATTTTGACTCTTAATTGCTAAGAAACTAACGTTGCGCTAATGCTTTTCATAAAACCGACATATAGAAAAATGCATATTTTTAAGTAAAGCCACTCGTAATAAATTACTTGTTTTAAATATTTTATAAGTTTATATATTCATATTTTTAATTGGTTTAACATGCATTCTAAATTCTTGAAAGTTTAGCATTTCAATCAAGAATATTAAATTTAAAAAATTCAGTTTGCTTACTACGTAGAATTAAATCAGTTTTTGTCTATAATTAAGTTTTATAATATTCTTGTAAAAAAAAAAGAAATTTTCTTCTTTCGAATACATAATAATGCGGATTTCTCAAATTTGTGACGAGTATATATTTATTTTAAAACTTTTATTAAGAAAACATTCTTTATATTGAATATCTATTAAGAGTGATCGGAGCTATAAACTCTGAGTAAATAATTCCTTTTCTTAGCGATAGAATGAAGTTTTTTGTATGTTTTTTTATAAAATCAAACAGAGTGTTTTACTGTAACCCAGCCATTTAATAACAAATAAAAATAAGAAATTAAAAGTATTTAAAGTGCTTTTTAAGAATGTACATTTTTTTATATTCATAGATCAAAAGTGTAAATACTCAGAAAAGTATGTTTCATGTATATTGTTTAATAAAAACTAAAAAGATTTTTGTGAAAATATTGAAGAGAATCTATTTAGATTTTCCATTTAGATTCGCGTATTTGAATCTAATCTGAATCCGCATAAATTTTCCAGAGTCAATAATTTTCTAAGGAAATAGAACTGTTTTCAATCAGATCTAAAAAATTCTCTATATGCGTTATTTTATTTTACTCTTATTATCTTATTATTTTATTATCATCACCTTATTTTATTATTATTGCTATTATCTTCTTATAATTATCTTACAATATTACCGCATCAACTTCTTACTCTTTCATACTAGCGCGTTCGTCGCAGTCGCAATAGCTATTATTATTATCACATTATAACACGCGTCGTGAAATTCATCCGTTTTGAAAATGGCATAAATACAATATGGAAAATAGATGGCATACATATTGTACTTTCATTACATTTTACATATTGTGCTTCGCATTGCGTAATGAGGAAATGAGGCACTTACAACTATCAGGAGAACGAAGTATATCCAGTCCCAGAAGGAGTGGGCGTCCTGCACGTAATACATTATGTCCGTCCATCCTTCCAGACTAATTACCTGCAAATCGACACGATTATATCACATCAGCATTGTAACGAAATAACGGCAAATTATTTGATAAATTAATACATTAATAAAAGAGCATAATATGGCGCTGGAAGTATCGAAATGACACGTACGAACTCTCTCGTCGTACATTCGAACGAATTCACCAAATGTCACGCTACGAGCATGTTAAAAGATAGACATCGCGAATAAATTCGTTTTTTACTTGTGTAGAAGTATGAAGCTTTTTCTAACTAGCACATCGCTCACTCGTAATATCGTCTGTTTGAACAGAAACCAATTTGTCCGCCATATCGCTGCCAACGTACTTTTTCTCAAGCCACTGTCATAAAGCTAATGCACGCAAGTCGCGTTCGACGAAAAAATAGTAGGGGTTCACGACTTTCCGATTCAATGATTTCAAAATCAATTATATTTTTTGCAAAAAATTCGAATTTTTTAATTATAATTATAATTTTTATTATTATATTTTGTAATATTTTGTAATATATTGTAATTATTGTAATTTAAATATTATTAATAATTGTAATTATAATTATAATTATAAATATTAATTTTATAAATTAATATTGTAAATATTAATTTATAACATTAATATTTATAATTATAAATATTAATTTTATAAATTAATATTGTAAATATTAATTTATAACATTAATATTTATAATTATAATTATAATTACAATTATTATTAATATTTAAATTACAATAATTACAATATATTACAAAATACTACGAAATATAATATTACAATTTATTATATTTTGTAATATATTGTAATTATTGTAATTTAAATATTATTAATAATTGTAATTATAATTATAATTATAAATATTAATTTTATAAATTAATATTGTAAATATTAATTTATAACATTAATATTTATAATTATAATTATAATTACAATTATTATTAATATTTAAATTACAATAATTACAATATATTACAAAATACTACGAAATATAATATTACAATTTATTATATTTTGTAATATATTGTAATTATTGTAATTTAAATATTATTAATAATTGTAATTATAATTATAATTATAAATATTAATTTTATAAATTAATATTGTAAATATTAATTTATAACATTAATATTTATAATTATAATTATAATTACAATTATTATTAATATTTAAATTACAATAATTACAATATATTACAAAATACTACGAAATATAATATTACAATTTATTATATTTTGTAATATATTGTAATTATTGTAATTTAAATATTATTAATAATTGTAATTATAATTATAATTATAAATATTAATTTTATAAATTAATATTGTAAATATTAATTTTTAATATTATTTTAATAATTATAATTATTAAAATAATATTTAAATTACAATTACTAAATATAATTATTATTATAATAATAATTATAATTTTTTCGGTAGCCGATTTTTTCGAGAATTGCTATTTTTTAAGACCGAGTCGACATTAAAAAATCGTGGAGGGTAGGAGGACAGCTTTCTAATAGAGAATTCAATTCTCCATTGGAAAACTATTCTTTTATTGGATATCATACGTCGTACGTCAAACATCGGACGCAGTGTGAATCCTCCATTAGAATCTTTAATTTCACCGTGGAGATTGAAATAGAAGATTCTGATTGGTTCATTTTTTTATGCGTTGTACATTATCTTTATGAAAGAGTCTGTGCTCCCTGTTTGAACTATATAACTTTACTGCATAGAAAGATCATAAGGTTTTGGATATACAAGGTGTCCGACAACACGCATCAGAGTCGTAGAGTATAGATAATTAGATAAAAATTAACAGAAAATTCCTCTTCCATTTTGCTCAAATTTTGGTTATTAATTAAAGAAGATTGACGACTAATCATGTGCGATATGGCAGATGAATTGTGATAGCGCCGCCATTTTGTAATATGAATTAATATAAAAATTTGAATATATACTTTAAAACATATATAATAAAATCTTTCTAACGGATTTTCTAACGGATCTTTCTAACGGATTTTCGATTCATTTCTTTGTTTGCCCAAAAAAAAATTCCCAAAAATAATTTTCGGACGTTATATCAAGAAAAGTAATTTGCTGGTCCAGCAAATTTTCTGCTATTCTAGCAAAATCTTTTCGTTTTATATGGACAGCGAAAAGATTTGCTAAGAGTAGTAATCACTATTTGTTGGATATAATTTGTTGAATCTACAAATTGTTTTACTATAAGAACCATGGTGGATTTATATAAGAAGTTGCAGTTTTGTTTGGATAGCAAATAAATTTGGTGAGGATATATTATTTTGCATCAATAGCAAATTAACGTGATTCTTAGGACAAATATACTCAACAAATTTTTTCTATCCTGGCAACAAAACTAGTTCTGCTCTGATAACAAATAATTTGTAAAATTAGTTACGTCAACTAAATTTTTTTGATGTCACTACGAATATGCAGTAGCAACGACGATTTTGCTAAAAGAACAAAATTATTTTTCTCCGTGTAGAGTGGTGTAACTCCTTAAAAGACTAAAGTTGGCTTTAAAATAACCCTAAAAAATCAATTGAAAATTACAACGATATCGACATCTTATATCAATATCGTTTCACCTTGAAACTGAACAGCTTTGTCTGAAAAATTGTTCGATATCCGGAATACTTTTGTAATATTTAATTGTACCAATTAAGATCAGGCATCCTGAATCGCGCGGAATGATTCGCTTGCGAATAAAAATAGGACTAGTAATTAAAACGCTCACAAGAAATATAGCGACCCAGGCGAGACCGATGTTATCGAATGAAATCGTTCCTTGGAATGGATTGTTGCCTTGCCCCTTGCACTCCGTGTAGTAGTAGTTCCAATTAACGCAGGTATAATTGTTGATGAACGTGGTGTTATTGTTCGGCAGAGCGGTGCTGTTGCACACCAAGTCCCCTAAATGCGAAAACATGTTGATCCATTCGATTACGACGGTAAATAAATTACCCCCCCTTTTCCTTTCTCCCTCTCAATAGAAAAAATAAAACAGAAAAATTTGAAATATTAGAATTTAGAATAAGAGCATATTTGCTGAAGCATATATTGTTAGAATCAAATTAACGAATTCTCGAGCACAACATAAGAAAATTAATAGATTTTATTATAATAACCTGGCTGTGTGTATTAAGGGAATGCTGGCGTCGATGACGAACTTGAATAATGTCGATAATCAGAGATGATCGTTACTAACATAATCACGCTATCTTTTTCGTATTTCTTATATATACAGAACTTATGTGTGTTGCTTTGTTTTACCATATTCAATGGAAAACCTAATCATTTATGTCCTTACGAAAAAATATTACAAGAAAACTATTGAGAACAGAATACTTTTGTCGATTAACGAAAATACTGCTGTTTTAACTACTGAAAACTTATACTAAAACTATTTATAAAATTAACGAATAGGTTTTCTATAGTTTCCCAATAGTAATAAGTATACAGCAGTATTCCAACATTTTTCAATAGAGTTTCAATAGTTTTCCTATATTGTTCTCAGTAGTTTTTTCTTATAGTTTTTTTCATAAGGGTGTGTAGGAATCTGCAAACTTTTTCTTAAACTTCCAAATGCAGATGCGAAGGTAGAGCAATGTTTTTCAAAATTTTTTGGTTGGAGCATCCACATTTTCGGTATGTACAAGCTGCGGAACTTTTGGATTAGGCAAATATTACGCTAACTGACAGCTTGAGATTTTACATTAAAAATTTTTGATCCGTTTCTGTCACATATCAAGCAATATTCTTATTTATTTTTGTGTATTTTCATTGCGTGAAAGCATTCCAGACAACATAATGTCTAAAATCGGGACATAAGACGTCTTAAAGATAATCTTTAAGATACCTTAAAGACATTTATACGTAAATTGTCTGAAACATATCTTAAAGATGATCTTTAATACGTCTTATATCTCGATTTTAGACATTATGTAATTCTGTGTAACCAATACGACGTAAACTCCCGATGAAAAATTTTTCATGCAAAATTATGTATGAAATTTGTCCATACATAATTATGTATAATTATATACAATCATATAAAATTATATATAATTATACACAATTATGTGTAACAATATATATAATTACATATAAATCTATGCGTAATTATGTAAAATTATATATGAATTTATATATATTATTATATATAATTATGTATAATTACGTATATAAGTAGAATATATGAACATGAATGGACAAATTTGATACATAATAATATATAATTATGTATAATTATATATAATTTTATATAATTATATATGAAAAATTTTTCATTGGGCTTTGCAAAAAAATGTCAGTGTTCTATCGGTAAAGTTTTCAGCTTCAGCATCCCCTTAAGTGTTAAGTGATTAAAGTTGTAAGCTCGCGCGTATTATATTGAATTGTCCCAAATGGTGCGTTGAGAATCATAGATAGGACGGGCACGATAAGCAGCGATTAACTCACTCACCGAGTTTGAGCGGAGGCAGATTACTGCAGGAATGCATCCCGCTGTCGTCCGGACGCGAGCAAATGTAATCCTGACCCTGATACTCGAAATACTTCTCCAGATCGCTGGAAAATCAACGAAGTGGCGATTAAATCGATCTGTCTTATGCTGACCCGTCACGCATAGATCCTTAGATTTAAAGGCTTGCGTACATATGCTTTATTATGCACAGATGCACTCTTTGCATGCTTCTTTTATGCGTATGCATTGTATGTATGTATATATGTATATATGTTTAATATATATATATATATATATATATATATATATATATATATATATATATACACA